ATCTCACGACAGACACAGGAAATAAAGTCACTAAGCGTAAAAAGCCTTTGACGGGAAGGAAGAGAAGGCCAAAGTTACAGACGTTAAAAATGCATTTGAGAAAAAGAGCAAAACGTAGTCAAAACAATATCAAAGGCAGCAGTAAACATACAGAAGAACAAAAAACTGACCTCATTCCTTTATATTTCACTTCTTTTCTTTGATTATTGTCCATTTATCTGCCTGAGCATCAGCTGTGCTGAGGAAGTGTTGGGATTGGGGTAAAGAGCACCTCCAAACAAAAGCCAGCAGCAGGCAGTAACACAAAACCTTTGTTTAGGTGTAGTCCTGCCATGAGTTATGACTAGAGCCAGGGAAAAGGAGCCAAAGCAGGACAGGCAGAAGAGTCCTCACTGCCTTACCAAACCAAAGATGCAAAAGCAAAGAAACAAATAGGAAAAAATACCAGTGAATACTGAGTCAGCTGATGGTCTGAGCACTGATGAAGAAACTATCTCCAGGGCTCTGCGGCTGGAGAAACAAAGACCAGGACTTTTATCCTCAGGGAGCAAAAAGCAGCCAGAGGCAGCGAGAGCTGATTGGCTGAGCGAATCCAGGTGTAAAACACATGAGGTATGGATGAGGGGTGTGACGTCATCTGGGATATTTTTGGATGGAAACAACCCTCTCATTAAGAGTCCAGCAATCCAGATTACACAACATCTGGAGGAAATGGGAAAGGAACCTTTCCCTCAGAGGTCTCCCCCTTATTCATTGATTTATTGTGTTCTCAACATGTTCAGGACACAGTTGTGTAGGTGTGAAGGAGGCAGCCTGGTGGAGGCAGCTCTGGCCAGTTCAAAGTTCCTGTGTTTTTTTAAGTGCTAGCTACAGTTACTGCACCTAGCTGTTAGCTAATGGCACCAGCAGCTTTTTGGGAGAGGCTCCATGTCCTAAACATTATCAGCTGGGACTAGTTCTGGCCTCCAGTGAGGCATCTGGATCCGGGCTGTGTGGGGCCGGACCCCTCTGGGTGTTCTGGGGGGAACCCGGTCGGTGCCCCAGGGTTGGGCTGGAGCTCCCTTTAGCTCTGCTGTCATCAAAAGAAGCTTTGAAATGCCTAAATAACAACTGTGCAGTTTGAAACCACCAAGCACTTACTGGAGTTCTGTCATTGTGATAAACAAAATACCACAGAAAGTCCACCCGGTGCGTATAGAGCAGCTCATATGTGACTCATCAGACCGTATCCTGCTGGACTGGAAGCAGCTTCTGTGTATTCAGTGGTAAAACAATGCTGGAAGCTCTAAAGATCTAAAGATGAAACCAGATTCAAGCAGCGAGGAAACTAAAATAGTGTACTGTAAGTAGCACATCCCATTAGGATCAGCAGTCTGTGGGGGGTGGACACTAACAGGTCACCGGTCATCAGACATTTGCCGAGTACAG